CTACAGTCAGTTAGTGCTTTATGATACCACACGACAACCCAACATTCTCCTTGACTTAACTCAAGGGACACCGACACCAACCAATGTATCACACTAATGTAGCCATCGCTTCAACTGTATCGGTATACGCCATACATTTTTCACGATCTATTGCTACTTACCTAAAGTGCTCCCAGATCCTTGTATAGGATCTTTATAATAAACCCAAACAACCCTTAAAAATAAATCAGGCAAATCAAACAAGGAAAGAAAATTAAAGGTGATCTAGCTCTTAAGGTAACCCCACTTTTAGTTTTCCCCAACAGAGTCACCAGTTTTGTAATACGGTGGGAGAACTGACTTTTAGTTTTGCGTTTTATTGCAAATATCGCGGATAACAAGAGTCACCACCAACTTTTCTTTTATCCAATAAAGGAAAGGGTGAAAAGAATAGGAAAGACCTTTGAGAATTTTTTTGAGTAAGGAGGGTAGGTTATGAAAAGGGAAGGTATTAGCACACTTTCCATCCGTAGTTATCTACGAGCTCTTAATCGCTAGCTCACTTTTGAAAAATGCTTTGTGAATATATAAGTTTGAAAATATTTTGAAAATGCCTAAGTTCAGCAACTTTGTAATGATTCTCGTATCGTTGAGAATACATACAAAGTGTTTGTTTTGAAAATATTTCAGAAAAGAAGTGTAATGTGTGAAAAATTGTTTTTGTTTATGAGCAAGTGACTACGAGCTATCTACCTACTCAAAAGTCTTTCACGTTATTTTCCTCTTCCTTTAGATAGTGTTGTCCTACCATTAGTTAGTAGAAAGCTCTATCGTTGGATGTTTGAGGGACAAACGTGGGTCATCGTATAATTATAAAGACAACTCGTAGAACGATTTAGCAATTTTATCTTAAGGGACTAAGATCGTTTACCGAGGCAGCATCGAATGGTCATCGAGGGACTATGATCTTTTAACTGAGGGTATTTGCTAAAGCGTTCCATGTTTGAGGGACATGACTGTTTTCCGAAGGCAACAAGTGTGGTTACCCTAAAGGTGCGGGTGTGTAAAGTGCATTGAATTCATATATATTATCTTGATTAGGGTTATCTGATGGTTGATTTTAGATCTTATCATACACGCCTATTACTAACAGTTAAATATATACAGACAAGCATACATAGTATATGTGTCGAAAGTAAAAGTACGGGAAATAAAACCTACGCTATTACAATGCTTCGGGGGTGGGGGTTACAAACCATAAAAATGGGGGAAGAAATAGTAAACCCTTGTTTATCTATTACAACTTTTAGCAGTTACAATATTTAGTAAAACTTGTATAAAATTTAAATCTAAAACTATTATAACTTGACGTGAAGCTTATACATTCGATCTAATAAATTTAAATAGCAAAGAAAATAAGTATTAAGAAAGATATTTTTTGAAGAAATCTAAAAAACCTAATTTGATATTTTTGGCGTTTTTGTTAAATGAATAACCTAATTCTAAATTAAATTGTAAATTATTAAATAAAATAAAACCTAAGTCTAAAATTAATTAAAAAGGCTAATTAATTTAAAACATTTTTTTCTGATTAAATTGATTTAATTAATTATTTTTAAAAAAGGTTGATTATATAAAGCAAAATAAATATTAAAACAAAAAAGAAGTGGGCCTGAAAGTAATTCAGGGGGTGTCAGAAAAGAAAATCGTTTGAGCCCAAGACAATGGCCCAATTGCTGCTTGTGATTCCATGTGGTTGACTCTAGAATGTGCACCGTGGGGGCGTTTTCTTAGAGCCATTATATATGGATCTGATGGTTTTGATGTGAGAGCGCATGGTGCGCGTGCTGGGTTGCTTTGCACTGGATCTGCAAGAGAAATGTGAGAAAAATAACATACTAGGGGAAGGGGTCAAACCCATGCCCTGGTACACTAACATCCTAACAAACACGCGCTTACCGCTGGGGTGACTATTACTTCTATTCATCTAAATCAAACAAAAACAACAAATACACAAAGTGAATTATGGCCGGAGAAGCACCGGAGCCCTAGCTCCAGTCGTCTTCTCCGGCAACCTGTAAAATTCAAAAATACAAAAAACTCAATTTTTAAGGATCCAAGACAACACGTACCCCCTAATTTGACCCTCCTGAATCTAAATATGGACTTATTTTTGGCTATAAGTCCTTGAATCACGGGTTTCGACTCAAGTGAACCCGATTGGAGCAAACTATAGCTTCTAGTAAACTAATGTGCATGAAACCACCTCATCGGTCCAAACCTGTTCAGACAAAGCTTATAAACCTATTAGAAGCATTAACCTTGTTCAAAATAAAATCAAATTACATATATCAATTTTCAGAAAAATGCAAAAAAATGTTTATGCGTGGTCAGAGAGTTTTACAGGCTTAGGATCGTGGCAACCGATCCAGACTTACTCTTGGATGCTCCAAAAGGTGAATGATAATGGAGTTGTGGAAAGAGAGGGCCTGCAGCACCGGTTTTAGAATTTAGGGTTTTGAGAAAAATATGGAGAATTTTGGCTAGCTTCTTGAGACAAGAATTCGTGTCCTTTGCATCTGATTTGCTTATACTTATATAGAGAAAGGAAATGGCTCAATAAACATGACAATAAATCATGTAATCAAGCCATGATCAAACATAATCAAGCATATTTACAAACTTCCAATTTGAGAGTATTTCTTGCCTTTTTGAGATTTACACATTTTGGCATGGTTGTTACAAGTGCCATGAGTTGTCTTGGGCCTCTAGATGATTGAGAGAAAAAACCCAAGCCCTTATACCATTATCTCATATTTTACTTGATTTTATTTGCATTTAAATGAATAAAAATTGAAATAAAAGTAATAAAAATCATAAAAAATATGTGAATGGATTTAAAGGTCCTGTAACACCTTCTAAACATGTTTGAACATCAAAAGTTAGGCCCATTAACTCAAAAGTGCAATTTTGCTCAATTGAGATTTCATGCATTTCTCAAAAATTGCCCAACTTGTGCAACTCATAATTTGCTCAATTTTCATCTTTTGAAGGTGATATTTTACTTTTTGGAAAGCTCAAGATGTCCTATTCAATTTCTCTTTTGATAATTTTTGCATTTGGAGACTTTATCTTGATGTAAGTTGCCTTGACAAAAAGTGTCTTTTTGTTGATTTTTGAAATGACCTATAATGAATGGGATCATATCTTTCAAATGAAGCAATATTTGGACTTGAGAATAAATAAAAAGTTGTATAGAATTGAATTTACTTCAAAATGGGCTTTGGTTGGGGAAATTTTGACGAAGCATGTGAAAGTTATGTTTGGTCAAAGTTCAGTTGACTTCTCCTAAGGAAACCCTAATTTGGCAACTTTTGACTTTTGATGATTTGAGGGATTTCCTTGAGAAATCATGATCAACCCTTGATCAAATGATGAATATCACTTCAAAAGGTTGACGTTGACCAAAAATCTTGAAATTTGACTATATGTTGACCATAGTTGACTTTTTACCCAATATAGTTGATTTTTAACTATCAGAGTCATTGACTGAGCAAACTTGTGATGCAAGGCTTGAAACTTGACATGAGCATTGTTGTAGACCTATCATGAATCATGAAAATCATTTGAGACCTTTGAAACCCATTCTTCCTTGTGAAAGATGAAACCCTAGTTGTGGACCCATTGCTTAGGAGAAGAATTTGTCTGATCAACTCTTGAGAATCCTTGAGCGTTTGAGAACCCTAGAATAATATCTTGAAGAAAATGGGAGGGTAAATTTTGGGGTACAACAACTGCCCTGTTCAATCTTCTTAAACCTGAAGAGTTAGATTGGCATATCTGCCATTCGTGACTTGAAGGTGGAAGATGATTGAACATATAAGTGCCCAGAAATTTGCACTCGCTTGTGCACGAAGTAATACTGTTGGTGGATTATACCGGGAATGGGCTTAAAGATGGCATTTGGAGAGGTGACGGAGAGTCATCGGAGACGGGCTTATAGATGCCATCCAAAGTAACTGTTGATAGAAATTAGACTAAGTTTACGCCTGACATTGTCCAAAAGGATAATCATAATAAATCTACGCTCGATTTAATCTGAACCAGAAGATGTGTACGCCCGACTTTAATGAGTTTTGGGCTTGGATCTTTGTTTCCCAGCGTTGAAGAAGAACAACAGCGCCACTGGCTGAGGGAATCAGGGTTTTCATCCCTAATTTGACTTAGTCAACATAACAATAAAAATTTAATTAATAATATTGATTAAATAATAATTAATAATAATATAATTATAAAATAAATACTGGTTTAGAATAATTGTAAAACCAAAACAGGTTCTCAATCAAATGTCTAAAATGGGCCAATAACTGTTCAGCTATTGGACCATTCTTCTTTCAAAATGCACCCTCTCTTTATAACAATGTCCCTCTCCTTTCTTTTCATTTGATTTGGACCAACAAAGCAAAAAAAGTAGCGCCAATTTCTCTTAAGAGGCCCAATTGATCAGCCTCTGCAAACTCGCACAACCCCTTTAATGGATTAAATAAAGGTCTTAGAAAACACAATGGGCCAGTCAATTTGATCTAGGAAAAATACACCCCTCTTTAAATTTTCAGCATGAATTGAAACAAACCTTAATGGGTCAACACATGATAAAAGACCTTCTTTAGTTGCAAAGAGCTTGGAGCATAATGGGCCAACACTTTGGTCAAAGGAAAATAAATGCACCCCTCTCTCTAATTATAAGAACAAATTTAATAAAGCATCCGACTTTGATGGTGCATTTTAAAACCATTCATCCCCTTTTATCAATTAAATCCCATAATAAATTTTTATCAACAATAATCTAAATTTTATAAAGAAAATGATAACATTAGATAACAATAAAGAATAATTTAGTTAAAAATTAATCATATAATAAAATCAAAAACCCACGTGGCTTCCTCACAACACACTTCATTTGTTTTATCAAAATGCACGTATTTGTTTTCCTAAATCATTTCTCCACTGCCAACGCAGTTATGAAATTGAAAATCTTACAACTTCCCATCCTTATTCATAATAAATCACAGACTGTTGATTTCTCTGGTGCATTTACGTTTTTAGCAAAAACAGGTCATTCCATCTCTACAATAGCATGTCTCATCTCCCACTGGTAAGTTTCAGAGCTTCGCCGAGGATCTTGCAGAAGTATAACTTCAAATCTTTTGGTTCACCAAGAAAATTTCGAGTACGGGCTTTCAAAAGACATAAAGAAGTGTTTATATTTATTGTTGTTTATTTGCTTGATAGGTCAACGCTGATAGTATTCGGCAAACTGGCTTTCAAGGTTATGGAAGCTCTCCAAGAACACCGCCACCACATGGCTGGGAAGATACTTCAAACTCTTGCGTAAAATTAGAACTTAATTGAAATTCGAAAGTAGTGATCATAGAATGTTCTTAAATTTTCTTAAGCGATTCGTGCATGATTTTAGCTTCGAGGACATGGCGGATGATCTATTACTCAAAGATATTAATCCATTCTTAACTCTTTACAATGCCAATAAGTAAAGATCCATAGTAACTAAACCTTTCTACTAATAATGTTTCTCCTCTTTTTATTTAGATAAGTTGAGAGCGGCTGCAGCAAGCGTTCTCTACAGAATTTTGTACACAACTCATGGATGCTTGTCTCAGACTACTAGGACAAACCTCCCTTGTATCTCAGATTCTTGTAAGCTTTTTATATTCCATCAATCATATAATTAGATAATCACATTCGTCCATGTCGGTGCCACACAATATTGCAGGTTAAACATAGTAATAAGAGTAACAAAATCTGTGTGTTGGTGTATTTAAAATGTATGGGATATTAGAGGACATTCAGCAAGTCTTGTATGGGACTTTAGAGAACACAAGAAGTCTGTGACATGATTTTCAATTTATGAACCGTTATATAATCTTTTAAGTGGATGCACTGATAAAACCATAAGGGTAATGTTCAAACTTCTTATATATTAAAAAAAATTCTATTCTCAACTGACATGTCTAGCAGTTAAAGTGAATGAACTAATTATCTTACAATAACATGTACAAAATAGTTGTGGAATTACACATGCACCATTTGATTGGGCACATATAGAGTTTTGCTTACAATTGATATTTCACGTGTCTTTTATTTTGTTGCTGTTAGGAAGTTCACTTTGTGTGTTGAACTGTTGCAGGGCAGAAGTGAATTTCCCTATACATACTCCCGTATTGATTTTCTAGACTTCTCATGAAAACAACGATGACCGACATCCTAAAACAATTGCATTGGATTTTGAAATGGTTGATGGTGGAAGTGATGGATCACTGGTGTTTTTAAGTTAAACCACGCCTATAATATATGAGTTTATTTATCAAACTACACCCTTTCAAAATCTTGTACTAACTGATATGCTTAATTTTTCTTTGAATCGCCAAATTTTAGGTATGGTTGATTCACATGTATCTGATTTCGTAATTTTTCAAAGTTTAGTTATCTGTTTTATAAAGTTTTTTGGGCACCATTGTGTTAAAACATAAAGTGATGTATCTTGTAATTGATTTTGAAAGGGATAAATGGGATTATATAGGCTTTTTCCTATTAGGTTGTGTTTTTGTTAGTATTACATTAAGGCAACTATGTTTTTTCTTCTTCATGTCCTTTCTGCTTATCAGTTTACAATATAGATTATGTTTATTATCATGAATCTATATTGATTTTTGGAATATCCGATGTTTTGATTTTTGGCTTTGATATGGGACTTTATGTGAATTTATTGGCAGGCTATTCACACTCTTTTGTAAGACATACATCAAATTAATCGCAGACTTCCGATATCAACTTTTTTGAATATGTTGAGCTAGTGAAATTGATTGGGGACCTTAATGTTCCTGTAGACCAAGTTAAGCTAGGAAACAACACCAATCACATGGTAATCAACACATCGTAAGTTATTAAGAAAACTATGATAGTTAAGAAATTATCAAGGCATGATCAAGTAAATGATCACTGTGTTCCAAAAGTTATGTTTCCAGCCATATGCCTATTCATTCAGCTTTCACACTATTTTAGTCCCATGACTTCATCCGTGTTATGATACACTGTTATTTCTGTTAGAAACTCGAATCAGACTTCTGTATAAAATTTTGTATATTGCACTTATCAAATAAATTACACACTTGATCTTTTATAGACCCAAACAACTTTTGCAATTCTAAACAAAAACATAAACATAACTGCTACTAATAACTATCATAACTTATCAAACTCTTGTCCTTCCTACTATCATATTTAATGTAAAACTAATACATTTAATGTTTATTCAACAAAACTCCTCTGTAAACTTAAATGCTTCTTCCATCCAGCATCCCTATTATCTTCTTGCCTCTGTCGAAGACCTCTTTCGATAGTGGTTTTGTAAACATATCTGCTGTTTGGTTTCTGCTTGCTACATGCCTCAATTCGACGCTTCCCTCCTTCACATGTTCACGAATGAAGTGAAATCGAACGTCTATATGTTTGCTTCGTTCATGATTCACTGGATTCTTTGCTAATTCGATAGCTGATTTATTGTCCACTTGTATTACTGTTGGATCTTCCTGTTTTAGCTCCATCTTGCTTATCAATCTTCTGAGCCATACTGCATGACAGACGCACCAGGATGCTGCCACATATTCTGCTTCACACGTCGAAAGTGTCACTATAGGCTGCTTCTTCGATAGCCAAGTAAAAGCTGTGTTTCCCATGAAAAACACATATCCAGCAGTGCTCTTTCGATCGTCTATGTCTCCACACCAGTTACTGTCAGAATAACCAACTAACTTGTAGTCTTCTGTCTTTGAATAAAACATTCCAAGTGATACTGTTCCTTTGATGTATCTTAGAATTCGTTTCAGCACCTTCCAATGTGTGTGTACTGGCTCCTCCATGAATCGACTCACTATGCCACACTTAGTGAAATATCTGGCCTTGTGCATGTGAGATATCGAAGGCTACCTACCAAACTTCGATATTTGCTTCCTTCGACCCGTTCTCCTCCATCAAACTTTGACAGCTTTGTACCTGGTTCCATTGGCGTCGAAGTTGGATTGCAATTCTTCATTTTATATTTTTCTAAGATTTCCTTTGCATACTTTTCTTGTGATATGAAAATTCCAGCTTCTTCTTGTCGAACCTCCAGACCAAGAAAGAATCTCATCAGACCTAAGTCTGTCATTTCGAATTCGCTTGTCATGAAGTCTTCGATCATCTGAACATCACTGCCTAGAAAAATAAGATCATCAACATAGAGTGCAACAAGCAATAAATCACTTCCATTTTTCTTCACATAGAGGGCTGGTTCATAAGGACATTGCTCGAACCCATTCTCTTTGAAATATGTGTCAATATGTGTGTTTCATGCCCTAGGTGCTTGCTTCAGCCCATACAGTGATTTCTTCAGTTTCAACACCTTCTTCTCTTCTCCAGTTCTCATATATCCAAGTGGTTGTTCGACATAGATTTCTTCTTCGAGCACACCATTCAAAAATGCTGTCTTGACATCCATTTGAAATATTGGCCATTTGAACTGAGCAGCTTGAGAAATGAGTAATCAAATTGTCTCCATTCTTGCAACAGGCGCAAACACTTCGTCATAGTCAATTCCTGCTTTCTGTTTGTATCCCTTCGCAACCAGTCGTGCTTTGAATCTTTCGATTTCTCCTTGAGTATTCATCTTTTTCTTGAATACCCACTTTACACCAATGGGTTGACTACCTTTTGGTAATTCGACTAGCTCCCAAGTATTGTTGTGTTCGATTGCTCTAATTTCTTCGTCCATGGCACTTTTCCACTTCTTATCTCTTAACGCTTCTTCGACACTGATATTTTCAGCATCTGCCAGAAGACACACTAGATGCACCTCACTTGTTGAATCATACAAATCTTGCAAACTTTTCATTTTGGGTTGTAGAGGTTCATCTCCATCTTCTGTTTCTTCATGTTCTTCTGGAATACTTGTTGGTACAGCTATAGTTGTTTCTTCGACTGTGTCAGCAACCTCTGTCGAATTGTTCCAGTCCCACTTGCTTGCTTCGTTCATTCGAACGTCTCTGCTCACGATCACTTTCTTGCTTATGGGATTGAAAAGCTTGTACCCTTTCATCTTCTCATCATATCCAATGAATATGTACTTCTGACTTTTGTCTTCAAGCTTTGTTCTTTGTTGATCTGGTACATGTGCATAAGCTATGCTACCAAATACCTTGAGATGAGAAATTGTTGGCTTCTGTCCACTCCATGCTTCTTGTGGTGTTTTGTCTTCTAACTTCGAATGTGGACATCTATTCTGAATATAAACAGCACATTGTACTGCTTCTGCCCAGAATTCTTTCGACATGTTCTTGCTTTTGAGCATTGATCGAACCATGTCAAAAATAGTTCGATTCTTCCTTTCAGCCACACCATTTTGCTGAGGTGAATATGGTGCAGTTAGGAATCTCCTTATGCCCTGTTCTTCATAGTACTTCACAAAGGCCATCGAAGTATACTCTCCTCCTCTGTCAGATCGAATTGCTTTGATGTGTCTGTCTGTTGCCTTCTCCATCATTACTTTGAACTTTTTGAACACTTCTAATGCTTCAGATTTTTCTTTCAGGAAGTAGACCCAGGTTTTTCTTGAGAAGTCATCAATGAAGGAAATGAAGTACCTTTTTCCATTGAAGGATTCTGGAGTGATTGGCCCACATATATCAGTATGTATCAATTCGAGTATATGTTTAGCTTGATACTCTGCCTTCTTTTGAAATGAGGTTCTTGTTTGTTTGTTGAGCACACATTCTTCACAGAATTTTCCTTCGAAATCCATGTCTGGTAGTCCATGCACCATGTTCCTTTTTGCCAACCTTCTCAAACCAGCATGATGTAGATGACCAAAGCGCATGTGCCATAGTGAAGCTTTGTCTTGCACTCCGATTTGCAGACATTTCTCTCGAATGTTCCTCAGGTTCAGTTTGTACATTCGATTTCTTTCTATTTCGACAGCGGCAATCAGATATCCTGCTTTGTCCTTCAACTGCAGTGTTCGATCTTTCATCAGTATCGAAACACCTTTTTCTGTAAGTTGTCTCAGACTTAATATGTTGGTCTTAAGATCTGGTACATAGTAAACGTCTTCGATTGATCCAATCAAGTCATCCTTCTGCAAGTAACTGATTGTGCCCTTTCCTTCAACCTTCACTTTCGATGCATCTCCAAAAGACACACTACCATCTTCAATTCCCTTCATATCTTTAAATAGGTGTTTGTAACCACACATGTGATTACTTTCTCCTGAGTCAAGATACCAAACACTGTCATTGGTGTTGATTTCGTTTTGAGCCATCAGGAGAAAGCCTTCATCTGATTCAGCTTCCAAGGCTAGGTTGGTTGCTTCTTCAGTCTTCTTTTCGGTTCGACAGTCTTTTGCAAGATGTCCCACTTTGTCACAGTTGTAACATTTGTAGGAGTTACAATCCTTTGCATAATGACCATACTTCCCACACTTGTAGCATTCGAAGTTGGAATAATTCGAACGACCACCTCTTTGACCACGTCCTCTGCCACGTCAATTTTGTTGACTCGAATGTCCTCTTTCGAAGTTGCTACCTCTACCACTTCGACCACTGTCACGACCTCCACGTCCACGTCCTCTTCCTCGAAAGTTGTGAGAAAAGAGTACCTTTTCGTCTTTGTTCGATTCCTTGGTTTGGTTTGTTTCTTCGCCTGCTTCTTCTTTCTTTTTCATCTTTCGTTGTTCATGTGCTTCGAGCGAACCAGTGAGCTCTTCGATTGAGAGCGTCGAAAGGTCCTTCGACTCTTCTATTGTACACACAATATTTTCAAACTTGTCTGTTAAAGATCTCAAGATCTTTTCAACAACTCTTGCATCAGCTACTGTCTCTCCATTTCTGGTGAGTTGATTCACCACCTTTTGCACACGTGTGATGTAATCAGATACAATTTCTGTATCCTTCCTTTGTATCCTCTCCAATTCGCCACGAAGAGTTTGGAGTCGAACTTGCTTCACTCGATCTACTCCTTTGAACACTTTTTCTAACGTGTCCCACGCTTGTTTCGACGTAGTCGAACCAGCAATCTTCTCGAAGCCTGATTCATCTACAGCCCTGAACAACATGTATAATGTCGTTTTGTCCTTCGCTCGCGTCTCTTTCAACGCCTTCGTTTGAGCTGCCGTAAATCCCCCAACTTTTGTTGGTTCTTCAAACCCATCATGGCTCACCTCCCACGCGTCTAGAGATCCAAGAAGAGCTTTCATTTGGATACTCCAGTTTTCATAATTTGACTTCGTTAGCCGTGGTAACGACATTTGATTCATCATGTTTGCCATGAGCTCTGATGCCAAATTGTTAGAAACTCGAATCAGACTTCTGTATAAAATTTTGTATATTGCACTTATCAAATAAATTACACACTTGGTCTTTTATAGACCCAAACAACTTTTGCAATTCTAAACAAAAACATAAATATAACTGCTACTAATAACTATCATAACTTATCAAACTCTTGTCCTTCCTACTACCATATTTAATGTAAAACTAATACATTTAATGTTTATTCAACAATTTCCACATGTCGTAACAGTAATAAATTAGTGGTGTGTAGATAGAACTTGAGAGTTAGGGGTCAAGGTATGAATAACAAGTTAAAGAGTGACAGAAGCATGGTTTATACAGAAGCACGGCTAAATTTTCATCGCTTGAATCTTGCGGGCTTGACATCCATCAACCAATTGCTGATGGTCCCATATCATCTGGTTATGATAAGTTGAATGGTGGTTATAAAGGCCAATCTAAATCTGATAAATGCACAGAGGACTTGCAGGAAAACAATGAAGCTATTCATTCAAGCCACTCTCAAGACCTCAAAATGAAAGCACTCCTTGAAGATTGGAAGTTGAAACCACTGAAATATATGCTTCTGCACACAACTCACCATTTTAGACAAACATTTCAGTATCCTCTTTAACAACCACACATCAAATAACAATATGCAGTACAAATGGCCATATCTAGATCTCATGAGGAATATAAATATCCAATTAAAACATGCAACTTATATTTATGGTTGTAATTGTTATAGATTGACCCTTCAAATATAAATAAAATTTTGTTATTTTACATTAATATTTTGGGTTAAATAATTGTCTTTCTGATTATTATGAATTTAGTTTCTATAATATATTTTTTAGGTGTCAAGATTATAATTTGTGTGAACTCATAGATTATTATATTTTTGATATAATTAAAGAAAATAAAAGTACAAAAAGTGTAGTCTCACGATATGGATATTTTGAAGATAATATATGGAAAATCTAAATATATATTATTGATGTAAAACAATTTTGCTAAATTTAATTTATTTTTAATTTAAAATATCTCTTTCCTTTAAAAATGTGATCAAAATATTGAATATTAACGAAAACGTGAAGTTACTGATAAAAAATTGAATATTAACGAGAATTTAAAGTTGCTGATCAAAATAGTGAATAATAACATAAATATGAATTTAATGATCAAACTATTGCATATTAACAGGAACATGAAGTTATTGATCAAAATATTGAATATTAACGGGAACATAAAGTTACTAATCAAAATATTGAATATTAACGGGAATATGAAGTTATAATCAAAATATTGAATATTAAAGGGAATATTAAGTTACTGATCAAAATGCTAAATATTAACGGAAACATGAAATTAATAATAAAAATATTAAACAATAACATAAACATGAATTGACTAATTAAAATATTAAATATTAACGGGAACATGACGTTATTGATCAAACTATTGAATATTAACATAAACATGAAGTTATTGATCAAAATATTGAATATTAAGGACACCATAAAGTTACTAATAAAAAATATTTAATATTAACTGGAACATGAAGTTACTGATCAAAATATTGAATATTAACGGAAATATTATATCACTGATCGAAATATTGAATATTATCGGGAACATGAAGTTACTGATCAAAATATTGAATAATAACAGAAACATGAATTTACTGATTGAAATATTGAATATTAACAGGAACATGACGTTATTGATCAAATTATTAAATATTAACGGTGACATGAAGTTACTAATCAAAATATTGAATATTAACGGGAACATGAAGTTACTGATCAAAATATTGAATATTAACGAAAACATAAAGTGACTTATCAAAATATTGAATATTAATGGAAACATGGAGTTATCGATCAAACTATTGAATATTAACGAGAACATTAAATTACTGACTAAAATATTAAATATTAACGGGAACATGAAGTTATTGATCAAACTATTGAATATTAACAGAAACATAAAGTTATTGATCAAAATATTGAATAATAATAGAACAACTTTACTATTGGTTTAAATATTTTGGACAATAATTCTAAAACAAAAATAATATTTATAAACCCTAACACCAAGCTATGCCCTTTGGATTTTCTTCTTCCCTAAGCTTCTAACAAGCCCAGATCCAGAATTATATTGAATCAAATCAAAACAGAAGTAGAAATTGCAAATCAAATCTTCTTTATTGATTTCGAATTTACAATACAAAAGCATCCTAATACATTAACACAATCAGAAAACTAACCACTGATTTATAGATCAAATCTCTAAAATCAATATAACCTAAATCAATTTCAATCTAATTTGTAATGGCAAATCACTAACAATTTCATAATCTAACTATTTCCTAAACCTATAAATTGAGACCTAAGCTATTTGAAAGAGGACGAAGAAAATTTGAGACGTAAACCCTTGGAGATTATCGCTGTGTAATCCTCACCCTCACCAAAGCTCTTCGTTCAAAAAAGAGGATTAAAGTTCATCATTAGAACTCTAATTCTTTTGAGCTAAACCTCCATCTAGTTGGTACCTACGAACAGAGAAGAAGAATTAAATTAGAAAGAGGAGATAAGAGGAATTTTTGTTAAAAGAATCAATGCAATGACGGTAAGTCTTAAACTTAGCTTAGGCTTTTGTATGTGTTGTTGTTGTTTGAATCAATTGGGTTTGATTGTTGTGTTTTTGGGAAATTTTGGATCTTAGGGTTAGGGTTCATCAAGCTAGGGTTAGGGTTCTTTAGGTTTAGGGTTTAAACTCATAAATTATTAGGGTTCATGTTTGTTTTCCATAAACAGATGAAGTCCCTGGCGGACTTGCATTTGAGACGGCAACCTCAATGGTCGCCCATGATGTTTAGGGTTTAGGGTTCTTCAGAAGGGTTAGGGTTCTAAGGGTATCGCCCTAGTGTTCTTGGGGTTCATGAGGATTTCTGGGTTTGAACGGTGGTTTAGATGAAGATATGAAGAATCCGGTTGAATGTCAATCAGAATTATGGGTTGATGGGTGACCTACGACGGCTAAGGGGTGGAACCACCGACAGAAGTGATTTCTGGACGGTGGGGCGATTTCAGATCGCCTAGAGAGAGATCAGAGCCTCTCTCTTTAAAATTTTGTTTAGTGAGAAGGGTTTGGATTGAGTGAGACAGGAGAAAAAAATGAAAAAAATGAAGATGAAATGAATATATAATGTCTCTCGTCTCTCTGTATGCGCACCTTATCATTCTCTCTTGGTCAATATCTAATCATAGTCATTTGTTCATCATACTTCAGATCATTGTCTCATAATTCACTTCTGATGGCCACATGATCTGAATCAAACGACTCTAGTATCTTTGACACACCATAGCGCCTGCACTCACCTACACCATTCCAACTGATCAAACAAAGTTATTTGGACCAAGCCCACTATTATTAGCACCCTCCAAATTACCGCCTTACTGTAGATTCGCACCCCTGACGCTTTTGGGTCAAAATGATGTTTGGGATTGAAGCCCTTTCGTTCCACACACCCTAATTACTTAATTCAACTATAATCCACACCCCCTGATTATCGGGCTATGAATCAATTTCTGAGCTTAAGTCCTTATTATTCATACCTCCCAGTTTTACTATGCTTAAACAAAATACACCCCATGTATTTAATTAATTAATTATATGTATTTATTTAATTTATATAATATATTAAATTATCAATTTTCCTCATATTATTTGTTTTATCATCGGCATTAAAATTATATTTTTATATTTATCATCATAAATCATTTTGATAAATAAATATTTGATTATTATTAAAAATATTTAATATGTTTCTAATAATAAGAAGATAATTATTTATTAACAATTTTAAAAAAATATTAACCTTTTTTCTATCAATTCCTCAAACATTTTTTTCATCATTCGAGCTTGTTATTTTCAAACTTCATCATGCATTCAAGACATCTAACCAATCAAACTTAACATATTTTCTACTAACCTAATTCAAGTTCAACATTATTTTCAAAAAAAGGATAGTGAACTTGCTTTCAAATTAAACTTCAAACTACGCCCACGACTATGCAATTTTCAAACTCGAATGAATTTCAAAGAATCGTTCGAAAGCATTTACACAATCCATAAAAAAACTAACTAAACACATACTAAATACAAATTTGAACTTTGATTCTTCGCAAGGAGATATGTAGGCACGCGGTTAAAATCAAGGTGAGTTCATAACTAAAAAACTAAATTATTTTCTCAAATACATGGAAACAATATAATTAAATAGAAAATCCCTGATTTACCCTAGGACCTAGAAAAAGAGACCCTTGAGAACAAGGAAGATGAATGATGCCTAACACCTTTCCTTCGTCTAATTGACTCAGGAATTTAGAATCTCTATAACAATTAGGGTTACTGATAACGAGAAATCGTATCATACAATCACTACACTTTTTTACCGATTTTCATAATACATTAAGTCGTTTAACTCCCGATTGTTTCGAGTTTTTGTGTCTTTTCAAAGGTACAACATGTGTCAACTCAAATCAGTGAAAAAGGACCACATGAAGGAAGCTAACCAAGAAACAGAAGAGAAAGAACCAAATCTGCAAAGTCTGCAGATTTTGTAGATGTGACGACCGTCACACCCTATGACGACCGTAACGCTTCCACGACTAGAAGAACGCTCGTCACACATCATTGACGAGCGTAACGCGCTATCTAAGCGCATTACGACCGTCACACCCTCGTGACGACCATCACACGCTTAAAAGCAACGTTATGAATTAATGGGGACGTGGGCAACATTGTGGGAAGTTTCTTCTCCTATATTTCCTCAACCTCAGTAACCATGCATCCGGGTCTTCCTCCACTCAAGCTTTTCCAGAATTTTCTCAACTGCAAAATCTTCTTCTATATATATGTGGTAGTTCAATGGATGATGGTCGAAGAATTTTCTACAGAGCCAAATTTCTATTTTTCTGCATTATTCTATTTTCTTGCTTTTGAACCTTTTTATTACCTACTACAATTTTTAGTTTCCAGAATTAGTTACTAGGGTGTTAATTCTTCATCCAAGAATTAACACGGTTATAGATTTCGATTGAATTGCAAGGAATTTTGTAAGCACCAAGGTTACCACAACAACATTATTTACAGGTTTTTTATGCAATTGATTTTTATTTATTCTTGTGATATGCCATTTATTTTTATGAATTATATTTTAAGTTGCATAGTTACTAAATATATTATGTCCGGCTAAATTAATTGATACCGGTATGTGACTCCTAAGTACCGAAAGAATTCAGTGATAACTTGGCTAAAAACATTTATAAATAATTTCTGGTTTCCAATTTCCATGTTTAATTTAACTACCCTTGTCACGAGAGTGAGAGGATAATTAACACGATTTTGCCACGAGAGTGGGAAATTAATTAAGGCAAGAACCTGCATGCGAGAGCTGGGGTTCGACCCAAATAGTGGTAACGAAACATTAATTTTTAAATACATGAGAGTGTTTTAACAAATTAATTAAACTCAAATTGTTTTTAAAAAGTGTTATTAAATTTAAAGTGCATCCACTAGGTTTAGTAGCATGACTTATTTCATGAACACGAGAGTGTATGTCTCTGG